GCATCGTTGATCCAGTTGAGCTTCAGAGTTGTTGGTGAGCCTCTTTGCATTCCGGAGGATCCCCCTTTTTCATTATTTTATCATTTTAGTTCATTAGGATGTCGTGGGCCTGTCCCGACATCCATCTCAGTTGTTTTAGAGGCTTCATAGATATAGTCAGTCAGATGTTAGTTCATTCGTCATCATTTTGTTATTGGCTTATATTTATATTTGAGTTACCATTTTGGCTAAGTTAAATGTTTATTTTAAAACATCATAAGTTCAGTTTGAGATATGTTGGGTTATCTTGTATTTGTATTCTCTTTCTTATGTCTAAGTCTTCCGCTGAGTAAGTAAGCCAGACCAAGGGTTCGCTTGGGGAGCAATGGTTCTCGAGTGCCAGTCTCGCCTAAGGTGTAGGCTCGGGGTGTGACATTTAAACCCCAAGAGATATAAGAAAAGTACATTATGAAAATATATCAGCACAATATATTGTGTTATGCTATACAACAAAAGATTACATGATCAACCATACATATGAAACTCAATGCAGTTTTATTCATACGATTTTTTTTAGCAAGGTTTAGAATAGCAAGACTATTACTATTATAGATCTTGCCACTACGTACAATGGTTTTATAATATTACATGATGATTTGTTGTGAGGCAATTGGCTAATCGATCACTTATTCATGGCCTTCACCTGAAGAATTGTATCCATCACTAGGGGGTTAATATTTGTAATGTGGAGGGTTATATTTTTCACCTAGAGGTTGTATTCGTCACTATGAGGTTTATATTTGTCACTTGGAGGTTTGTATTCATCACTAGGGGGTTTATATTTTTCATATGGGGGGAGGGGTTATGTTTGACACTTGGAGGTTTGTATTCGTCACTGGGGTGTTTATATTTGTCATGTGGAGGGTTATATTTGTCACCTAGAGGTTTGTATTTGTCACTAGAAGGTTTATATTTATCATGTGGAGGATTATATTTGTCACCTGGAGGTTTTATATTCGTCACTAGGATGTTTATATTTGTCACCTAGAGGTTTGTATTCATCACTAGGAGATTTATATTTGTCATGTGAGTGGTTATATTTGTCACCTGGAGATTTATATTCATCACTAGGGGGTTTATATTTGTCACGTGGAGGGTTATATTTATCACCTGGAGATTTGTATTCGTTACTAGGAGATTTATATTTGTCATGTGGGGAGCTATATTTGTCACTTGGAGGTTTCTATTCATCACTAGGGGGTTTATATTTGTCATGTGCACCTGGAGGTTTGTATTCATCACTAGGGGGTTTATAACCTGGAGGTTTATACTCATCACTAGGGGATTTATATTTGTCATATGGAGGTTTATATTCGCCACACCGAGGTTTATATTTGTCATGTAGGGGGGTTTATTCGCCACTTGGAGGGTTGTATCCATTGTTATATGCACCACCAAGAGATTTATATATGTTGTTATAATCGTCATGTGGGGGTTTATATCCCCTACCTGGAAAATTATATCCATCACGTGGAGGATAATATCTGCCACCAAAATATTTATATCCATTGTTATATTTATCATGCTCATCTCTGGGATATCCGTCAATGTCATTATATCCATCATCATGTACATCATCTGATTTCATTGCTACAAATATCAAATGTGAAATTTAAATACTGGCATAACATTGAATAAATGTCAAATAATTAGATAAGAAATCCAATATTTCAAAGAGATAACTACTAAAAGGAAAAAAAACAATAAACTTACAGGTCTCAGCCAACTCCCTAGCTCCAACCTCAGAGCTTATTATTGCAAAAATAACCAAAAAAATGCCAAGAAACAAAAAATGCCTTGGAACCCATCATTTTTTTCCTTTTTCAAAACTTAGTTATCTTAATGAAAGGATGAAGAAATTAATACATCATTGGGTTATATATATACTAAAAGAATTTAATGTATTAAAAATTGATAAACGGTCACTTATCACTTATCTTGTCCAATCACCACGCATAGATTATATTTCCTTTGTTTCAATTTACTTGTATTATATTTTTAGTTTGTTTTAGAAAAGAAGGAAGTATAGGACCACAATATTTATCTGCATTTCGAGTTTGTGGATTTGAATAAACACAAACTACTGCTCTAATTACTAATAAAAGAGCTTCTTAAATCTTACTTAAACATAAACTGCTATAAGCCTATAACTATACAAAGAATTTTTTGAAAACTCGTTTAAAATACGTAGATTTTAAAAGTTTTCCCAAGTAGGTTCTAATTGCTCAAACAATTTTTATTGCGTTAGTTTTCTACTTCATATGTTTGAAATATATATTGCTATTATTTTTGGTGGTAGGTAATCGATAAATACCTTCTATTTTTAATTATACGTTTTCATATTTGAAATATTTAAGAAAAAAATTACTTTTAATAAGGAACACTATAATCCTAAAAGTGGAACATTCCTGTTAGAGAGGCTAAATGATTGAATACATTTACAACGGCTAAGATTAAATCTTCTTGAATTTCTCAGCTTTGATCAATGGATTTGCCTTTGCTATAGCTTCTCTCCCCATTGACTTAAAACTCAAATGTGCATGCATGAACCTCTGGATACCTATGGGTCCCAAAAAAATGGTCCCACACCTACATTTAAATCCCACTAACCCTATTTTCTTCCTACAAATCAAACACCTATTCGATTGCGGCGTCACAACTTGTGGCGCCGCAGCCTCCACTAAATCCGAGATCAAAACAATCGGCTCGACTATCATTTTCTCCGACACCGTTTTTTCGGGGAAAAAAGAGTCTTATATATATATATATATATATATAAATATATAAGAAGTGATGGTAAACACTTAGCCGGATTTGAATGAAAAAGAGAGTATCGAACTAATTTGGGTAATAATAAAAGGGAAAATTGTACATAATGGCAAACTATTAATTCAAATTAAATGGTATAATCACACTTTGATTTAATTGTATCCTGTAGCAAACTGTTTGCCAGCGCCTCTCTCCCTCAAACTCTCGCTCGCCACTCTCCTCTCTCGCTCACTCTCTCTATGCTCGCCTCTCTCGCTTTATACACAGAAGTGTATAAATTGCGTTTCTGTTTGTATAAAGCGAGAGAAAATTGTATATACACATGCAAATACATATATATTCGTCCTATACACTTATAATTATACAATAAAAATATTATCCTGCCCAGTTCTCTTTTGCCTTTCTCTCTTTCTCGTTTTATACAACAGAAGTGTATAAATTGCATTTCTGTTTGTATAAAGCGAGAGAAAGTTGTATATACACATGCAAATACATATATATTCGTCCTATACACTTATAATTATACAATAAAAATATTCCCTTGCCAACGAGAGGCTAACAACAATTTATACAAATGACCT